AAGACGTGGACTGCCGGCCTGCACCCACAGTAAGATCTCATAGTGGGAGAAAAGGTGAAGAATATGGAGGAGTATCTGATGAAGGACGTTTCGACGCATACACAGAGTACAGACAAGTGATTATATCCTAGTGAAGAGCGACATTACAAGGATCTAGAAGAGGCAACTCAGTTACTACAGACAAGAAACAAGCGATGGTATGTGGCAGAACAACTTCGTAAGTGACTTGAAGACTTAATGTTAATGACCAGAGAAACTCGGTGAGGGACATGCCGCAATAACAGAGACAGGCTGCATGTTCAGTCCAAAGACACACACTGACGTACAGTATCACAAGACCATATTCAAGAGAAGACTGGTTGTTATTTCGTAGCTTAAGGACTAAGTGACACTGGTCAAAAACAAATGAAATTATGGCACTAACAACTCTAAACGAAGTAATTGTGCCGGAGTACTTACTGTTAGTTTTCAGCTTGAGGAAACAGCAATTAACATATGCAAATTACATGACACTCTATGGGAGAAGGTCTTAAGGTCTTGGAGACTTAGTGAGTACCCAGGGGTGCATAGGAAACTGAAAGACCTCATATTATACCTCCCCTTCAAGGCAACCTGAGTGACTCAAGAGGCGGATTGGTATTCTCAATATTGCCAAGGCCATCCTAGATCCCATTATCCCCGTGATATAATTGGGAAAAGTGCATGACATTTATATTTTGTTCAGCATGCTGACGAAGATATTAAAAATGAATGTGAGGCTGGCCTACGTGTTATTGTTTCAGATGAATGCCTGGTACTTACTTACTTCTTTATTCCGAAAAAACTAATCAGACTGTTGCCGTGGCATATCGCACGATCAGCGTCTGAAGGGCTTTCCTCTGTAAAATACTACAGTTTCGAATCGAATAATTTGGTGAGAATTTTCACAATTCAAAATACGTTCTTCATTGAAATTATAACTCAGAGTGGATAGTTCTCAAACGTTTTAGAATTATAATTTCGGTTTTAATGTTCTGATACCGGACTATAAAATAATACATATATAATTGTAATTTTCTTTATAATGGATGATTTTGAAAATTTCTAAAATTATAATTTCAATTTTAACATTCAGATCACGGACTATAAATGAATATATAAATATTTTCATAAATCTATAGGAGGAATCACAAACAAACTCCGTGGCTTTTAGTCCGCAAGCGAATTATACCGACCGAGCGATCGCCGCTTGTCGGTGAAGTTGGTGCCAACATTAGCGGTTAGAGGGTGTCACGTGGTCAGCGCAACGGATTCCCACGGTCGTTAATTTCTGATTTCTAGACTGGAGGATTAATCACAATGAAATCAGAATTCGTTGCCCTAAAATATATTTTCATGCTTGTGAAGACGTGTTTATTACTAACAAAATAAATATAAATATTTAAAAAAATATATAAATTATTTTAAATGTTAATTATAAATATTATTCGTAAATTGGAGCTAAGGCTAGTGTAATGGAAGATTATTTCATCATTTTGAAACGTGTCTATAATAATACGGTTAAGTTATGATAACACAGATTGTGTGATATCTTTCACCAGAGAGCACATTATCGCATCCTCAGTCTTGAAGTTTGTGACCCCAACTCCGATACTGCACTTGGCCGGACTCATTGTAAGGAAGCTGTACTTTATGATTAAATGGTTTAATTTTATTGCTTACAAAGATCACATGTGACAGCACTATTGCTATCCTACTTTAACACTTTAATGTATCAGAACATGATTTAGAAAAGCGATTAAAATATTAAAAATTGCATGAAGTTCTTCACACAAAACATCCATAGTAACAGAAGAAAAATCGGTGTATTTTGTTGCTATGATTTTTTTTTATTGTTACTTCTTAGATTGGGCTCAACTTATTGCTACCAATTTCCTTCAGGTCGAGTATAATTATTGCTGAATATGTTTATTGCTTCGTGTAGGATATAATCCTACGTTTCGATGCACTTGAATGTAAATTTGAACTACAAACTCTTGTTGAATATACAGCACTATCACATTCACACGCAGTATATAGTACATAATCAATAAATAATGCATCTTATAACTACAGTGGTGCACTTATAGACTAATTATAATAATACTTTATACTTCAAGATGGCTTGTAGCATAAATAACTATGAGAAAAGTTCATGATTCATATAGAAAATCATTCTCAAATCCAGCTAATACTTAACCAAGACGCTTGCCACTTGTTATATACAAGGTGGTTAGACTAGTTTTTTCTTTGAATTTATACATGGTAGAGTGCCATAGGAATGTGTTGGTATGACTAGATGCACACTCGAGCCTTGCTAGTTCCTTGCAGTAACACTGAACTGCTTGTCAAATTTGAATTTATTCCACACGAATTCAACCTGAGCTCTGTTCAGTCATAAGAGATCTGTGGGCTGTTCTAGAGAAATGAAATGGCAACTGATAAGAAAATTGGATAAAGGAATGAAAAGGAAATGCAAAACAATGATAGATAGGAGGAAAATTAAGTTACGAATGTAGAAAGGACAGGAATGAAATGTAGGTGAAGAATGAAAGGACAGAAATAGAGGAAAATGAAAGATGAAGGCATTCAGAAGTGAAAGAAGTTATATAGGAAATAAATAAAGAATACAGAGATGATACTTGACAATATGAATTATGAAAATATTCATTCATTCATCCATCTGTAATCTGTCAAGACGACAGGTCCACAGTCTCTTCCAAAACAGTTCGTCCACCTAAAGCGATCTAGAGCTTTCTCCTTCAAATGAAAATATTCTCTTCTGTCCCCAAGGTCATCCAGCATCTTCTTACGTCTTTTTCCTCGTCTTCTTGTCACTTCTATCCGCCCCTCTATCTTTCCTTCAATAACTTCTTTTAGAAGGCAGTTACTGCGTAAGATATGACCATTCTAATTAGCTTTCCGTTTTCTTATTTCGTGTAGGATATTCCTCTGCTCACTAAATAACACTTCTTCATTTCTCACATAATCGGTCCAACTGATCTTCTCCACCTTTCTCCAACACTGGGATATAATGGAAAATTATCCTTATAAAGTAAATATCATATAAGCTTGTGGATAATTATAAATGTTGATTGAGAATAAGGAAATGAACTTGTAATTTGACGATAACAGCCATAATATAGTCATATTTATATTTTATGTTATTTGAAGGCAGACTGTAGGGCAGTTTGCATTTACTTTGCAGAATAATATTTGTATAGAACAAAATTTTCGAAAGTGACCTGTACTTTTATGGATCCCTATACCTCAGGAATTAATTTTATGAAGTAAATGGATTTGAAATAACATATCCTATCATGTTCGTATCAGTGAAGTTCAGTGCACTGGAAACTAGCACGAGGCTTACAATAATTTGAAAAGCATAACCGAAATACCTTTAAATAAAAATGAACTGTACATATCAAATATTGCACCATATCCCTAGCTAATACATTCATTGTTTGACACGTCTATATCTGACATTCATATACGTATAGATATAGCAATCCATCGTATACAAGAAATGTCTATTTCATAAACCATGTCTTCTACATATGTACAAATTTCTTTTCTTAAAAATATTGCATAAATTATGTTACGACAATATATCTACGTTTTTTTTTATTAAAATTTCTTAAAATCATGTACATCACAACAAGCACGAGTAATATAAATTAATTTTGGCATATTATTACACATCATATATTTCGTTGCTCACGTCCCATTATTTCTGGAGTTACATGTTACAGTGAAAGATAGAAAAATGAAAATACGAAATATATTTGAGTATTAATGAAGTTTTAACACTACAAAGAAATCATATGATGTACATGATTTTAATGGTTACGTTACAATACATTGTCACAAAAGAAACACTTTGCAGTGACCATATGGGCTTGGAATATTTCGAGTATGGAGAATCAGTTTATTGCGCCATTTTCAAATTGTAATGTCCAGAATTGCGATAAACTTACAATGGAAATGTTCATCATATAAAGAGTATATTAATATACAAACTCGATTTTTAACATTGTGTAAAATAGCTTTTATATTACAAACCATTGTGGTCTTGAATTAAGGTGCTGAATAACAATGTATGTTATTCTATATATTCGGTTATAAATATTCCTATCATAAATAGTGTCATGTTATAAATTACTGTATGGTCGGATTATTCCTTACTTTATGGAGTCTTTCTAAATATTTTTTATTTTAATTTATTTTATAAACTCAGAGCATTTACTCCAATTTCAGTATTGACTTAGGTATACATTTTTCTTTGCTACTTCTACAATTAGTGCGATCTACTCGCTGTATATGAGGATTGCATATACCTGTAAGTAGCTAATGTGTTGAATGACTAGAGCCTCTCACTAACTAAACCAATAACTGTAGAATTTATACACTAAAACCTATATTCAGTGACTTTACAGATTCGTTGTTCATGAAACTCTTCGATTTTTGTGTGAACCGATGGGAAAGATAAAAATAAAAACACAGACAAGTATGTCAACGCACTGGCTGGAATACATAACGGCTTTGAAGCACTCTAGAAACTAGAATCGAAAAGTTTTTTATGAGAATCTACATATATTTATATGGTTATGTATAAAACTATGTTTACATATACTATTTACTCTTGCCTGCATATGTAGCATTTGATTAAGATGAAAAGTGACGTAAAACTTTTAATTATTTGCTCGTTCTGTAAATTTCCCACATGAAGAATGAAAATTCCCGATATAAAATATATGTAGAAACTGTAATTTATGGAAACTGCTTTCTCGTTGAAATATGTTGGATTTAGAGATATTGAGTTTTCGGACTTTATCCATCGTCCTGGTTTTAAGATAACTAAGAAAAATATGACGTTTCGGAAACTGGATCTTTCTCCGTCCTCAGGTGAGGGAAAACACATATTCTGTTGGGTCCTTTAGAAAGAGCTAGCCTCAATCACTGGACAAGGACGATGGATAAAGTCCGAAAACCCAATATCTATATGTGTTATACACCATCATCAGAATCCTATAGTAACTATGTTAAATTTAGTTTCACAGAAAAGAGTACGTGTTTTCTTTACCACTGTTTACTCATATTATTAAGAACTGTTTGAGCTAAAAGTATCTGTGACGGATGAAGAGAATTTATGACTTATATATTTCATATTATTAATTATTAGTAACTTCAACACCGATGGCTGAATTCAGTCTCGTGGATAATGGAGTTCACCTCAATACTTTTAAGATTGATGTGTTCCGTCAGACATTTCAGTTTGCGAGCAAATATCTGTTTCTCAAAATATTTAAGTTCCTTAAAGTTGCAGTAAAATAAGAAATTTATGATAAAGTAGTCATTCTTCAAAAAAATAATTCCATAGAGTTACAGTAATATTACCATTTGTTACCTTACATCTTGATATACGGCACGTAATCAAGCCAAGTTTAATATTCCTAAACTTCAAAATAGTCCGATTGAGTTCAATATTGGGCTGGAAAGTGATATTTCTAAAGTATGACTGACCCCGACAGATGACTGCTTTCGGGTTTATTCATTTGAACACATCACAATTCAATATTAAAATATCATAATTATAAGGCAAATCCGACACAAAAATGAAACGCAATTTCTGCTATTGTCGGTTTTGGCCAGTCAGATGAAATTTAGGGATTAATGAATATGCTAGTTTATCGTATTATGCACGCAGTAATATAAGGTTACACCAAAAATGATACATGTAACTCGATGGAAAGCGAATGTGGAATAATAGCTATATATCATATACTTGATTGAACTGAGGGTTAAGTAGACGATAATTTATATCGATCCAAGAAATTCATGAAATTAATTAAGCTTAATTAAAACCCATTACGTCTATACGACTGCAGAGGGGTGACACACATGCCGTGTTCTTCTGTACTTGGTGTAATACGGTTGTAATGCACTTCAAGTAATTTTAAAAGGTCATGAGTCATATTTCCAAAATTAATATTCATTTTTAGAACTCAAATGATTAATTACTTAATATAAAAAAAAGATTTATTTGAATTTCCGATTTGTTTAATGTATTTATTTACTTTAAGTTACTACACTTATTATCTATAGCGTTTCCGTTTAAAAGATTGTGCCCAGATGCATAAAATAAAATTGTGCTTGTGACTTGTAAGGAGGGTGTATCTGTATTCCGGTGCATCGCAAACTATAGCATTCACAAGTGTACACTGGAGTGCTCGTGTGTTCCTTTATAAATATGAACGTAAGGTACTGATTAGATAAGTAGTCTATTTCTAATATATTTAACATTAGATAAATATCTTCTCTCTTGTTTCCTTATCTAGACTTTTTTTGTTACAAAACGTGTAATCTAGAAAGATCATACATGTCAAAAGGATTAATTCTCCACGTCACATAAATTTTCCCACGAATCCGGGAAATCACATCACCCGCATACCGGCATCTGTGATACAGTACCATAGGTGGATCCGTGGGGATATAGTGGCTTTTGGAAACAGAACTTTAAACATTGGGTGGACGTAGTTTTTATATCATATTATTTCAACAGGAATAGCTGATGTTTAGAGGTGCGGGGGAAGGCGTCAGGAGATGTGACGTTTCAGGAGGTGGGGAGAGAGATGGGCAAGTTGCTGCCATTCCAGGCGACGAAGCCTCGTCAGGTGCTGGGATATTGGTGGGGCCGTCCTTGAAGCACGCGGACTCGAGGTGCTTGTTGAGGTAAGACTTGAGTGCGAAAGACTTATGGCAGCGCGTACATGTGAAGTTCTTGTCGGCAGAATGTGTCTGCATATGCGCGCGCAGGTTGGAACGGTCAGCGAATGCCTTGCCGCAGTGAGCACATCCGAACGGCTTCTCGCCCGTGTGCGAGCGGAGATGTCCCTGTAGGAGCCAGGGCCGTGAGAACAGCTTACCGCACACACCGCACGCGTGAGACAACTTATGCGTCAAGAGGTGCATGGCCAGCGCGGGCATGCTCACGTATGCTTTCCCGCACGTGACACACTTCTTGGCGGACTGAGAATCAAGGCTTCGGTGCGTCTGTTTATGGCGTGACAAGTTGGACGATGTCGCATACTGTTTCCCGCATTCCGTGCATGTATACCGGGTTCGATTCTCTGTTGCTCTCTCTGAAGTGATCTCTGGCAAAGCTGATATTCCTGTTGAACTCAGGGATTTCCTCTTTGATCGTCCATCACTCACAAAGAACGCCTCGTATGTGTATGCCACTGTCTTCCCAGTGGGTTGGCTGCCTAGCCTGAATATGGGAGCTACCACACGTTTCTGCTCTTCATGTTGTTGGTTCGGCTCGGACTGGACGGTGATGTTAGCAGCCGTCGACGCACTGAGATCCAGAATTGCGTGCGCTGCAGTGAGATCTTCCTCTGCAGGACGCCGGATCGATGCCGGCTCCTGCGTCTTAACAGGTCTGTCATCTAAAGAATATGGTCTGTAGATGTCCTTCTTCTTGGGCGGCAGCGATAAGGCGGCTCCAGTACTTGTAAAACACATCGCTAGGGACTTCCTGTTCCTTGGCGGCGGGGCGGAGATGGAGGCGGAGGAGGGAGGTGGCAACGGCTCGACCCACGGCCGTCTGTCGGGACCCATCTCGACGTGCTGATGCTCAGTTTCCGCGACAGTCTGCAATGTCGCGTATGATGGCTGAGGGGAATGGTGCGGAGGATAGGCCAGTCCTTCATCGTGTTCCCTCTCCACCCTGGGCAAGTATGCGGTGAAGTGAAGAGAAGACAGGTCCTGGACATAACCTGCAAACACAGATACATGTTTGTCTCACTAAATAGTGCAAATCATTCACGAAATCTATCACTTCGACGAAATACGTAAAATATGGGGTTTGGATATTATGGAAATACGCCAAACAGACAAACTCATCTTCTCATCAGAGAGGATTACTATTACCGCAAGAGTTCTGTTGGAAAAATCTTCGGTCGTGGGACTCAAGGGGCTTGGCACCAAGACGAATTGATTGGCGATAAACCGCGAGTCATTAAGTAAGTTTGACTTTGTTCCCGTGTGGAGGCGGGGTTGAATACCTCCACCGTAGCCCTGAGAGTCATAGGAGGCGACAAAAAGAGAAGTCTCGAATCTGACAGTAAAATATTGTCGGAAGTCCCACGGGGCTCTGACCCGGGAACGTGTTAGCTGGCGAGGACCAGCAGCGACTGTAAACGACAGACCCATCCTCTCATAAGAGAGAGCGCCCCACATCAACAAACCAGCAACTGTCTGACAGCAATAAAAAACTGATTGTAAACCCCAGATGGGTGCTATATTCCAAGAGAGACTGGTCGACTGACCGTCCGTCGTAACATAAGACTCAGACTCAGACTCAGACTCAGACTCAGACTCAGACTCAGGACAGAGGAGGAGTACACAGTCCAGTTGAGTGTTCAGTTATGTACGGGAGGCTGTGAAGAAAAGAGTTAGTTGCAGTATTGCACGTGTGAAAAGGAGATTTTATGTGTGTAATTTAATGAAACTGTTATAGTTCCTATGTTATAAATCCGTTGCCAGGAAACGGACAGTGAAGACATTGTAAAGGCATAGCCATTGTTGAGATTTGTTACCTAGCAATGACTAGTGTAAGCAGAGGTTATTTATTCGTTGTAGCTCCAGTAGTTTTGAGAGCGTTATAATTAATTGTACTTACGACTGGTGAATATCCCATACATCGACTCATCAAACCAAACCCCGTCTACTAGCCACTAATACATGTGACACTATTATGTCGAATTTAATTATAATTGCACATTTTTTTAAAAGCAGTCCGGCACAAAAAGTGGAACAAATAAATTAATAGGGTCTGAGTTTCTCACAGCTCTTATTATGAAGATTCCTGTTGTATGGGATATATCACTGCGTATTCCGTTGAAGGTTAGCCGACGTTTCGGAGGAACATATCGCCAGTCGCTCTGCTTTCCACCTGCTTTCACGCTGATTTCTTGCCCAGTTTATTCTTCGATCCTCTAGACGGAGGCGTCATGTTCCACCGAAACGTCGGTTTGACATTAAATGGAGTATAATTCGTTATATCCCAGAAGATATAACTTTTCAGGTTGTTAAAATTTTATAAATTTCTTTTCCTTCGGGACACAAGTCTTCAAGTTTACTATTTTATGTTCGTTCTTAGTAATTTAGAACACTTTGTGAGGCGCTCTGTAGTTCATAAAGAGTTATAAGCATGCATTCCTCAGAGTTCGTGTATATCTGCCCTGGATTACAGACATCACAGGCTACAGCAACCCTATATGATTTTGCTTTGTGTGTGCACATGGGCTTCCTTTCCGCGTCTCTACTGCAGTCTCAGCTTGTTTACCAAGAGCTTCCAACCCTCCCTTTCATAACAGGAAGATGCAATGCGTTTCTATAGTTCTTGTAATGCTCCCACATAAAGCAGTATTCTGCTCAAGTTCCCAGGAAAAAAGAAAAATATTCTTTTTCATATAAATACATCTTGCACATTTTGGGATATGAGTTTTTCCAGCAGTAAGGCAGGAATAGCTATTTGGCACAGGACCAATGAATGGCCTGCCAATATAAAAATAAACGAGGCTCTATGTTACGTAAAATATCTTCCAATGGGAATATTCTAAGAGTCTAGAATTTACATAAGAAAAATATAACTCTTTTGCTGATTGCTCCATATGGAGCAATATTTGTTCGAGAGAAATTTAATGTTTTGTGAAAACTCTCAGGAGCATGTCTGAACAGAGCAGATTCTGTAGGATTTGAGGTTCACACAGTGGCGGTTCTGTTTTAGGGTCTGTAACGCTGTGTAGTCCGTTAAAAGCCAGCAGAAGTTTCGGAAGAAGTTTCATCTCTATCGTCAGGGTAGACGAAAAGTCAAGAAACTAGAAAGAAGCCGGTACCACGATTTATTTCTTTGACCCTCAAATTAGAGGTAACATGTTCCTCCGCAACGTCGGTTGGTTTTCGATGGACTATACGGCATTATATCACAGAAGATGGGAATTTTCAGCAGATTCTAATCAACGTGGAATATTTAAGAAATTCACGTTGTTGAACCAGAGTCCTTCTTCATGAGCTGTTATTTGTTAAATGTAATGACTCCGTCTTTCATTACCGGAAGTTTGGTCACCATAATCACAGCTCATCTCTGTAGCATATCCTGAGCCAGATGAATCAGCTCCATTCCCAGTTTTGTTTCTCCAAAGAAATATATTGTTATCGTTCATAGTTACAGTTCTTCCTTCATAACAGGATTTTGAACCAGAAGTATTAATGTAATTATAATTTCCCTAATACATGCTACATGTGAGAATATAAGCAATTTAAACGAGGGGGCACACGGTAGCGTAGTTGGCTGAGGCACTACACTATAAGCTGGAAGGTCGCGGGTTCGAGTCCCTATGAGGTGGATATATTTTTCTAATTTACCTAATCCTTCCGGCCGTACTATTGTAACCGTTCATTCTAATTGGAGGACTATTGTATATTAATTATACCTATATTAAGATAATGTCAAGTAAATACAGAAAGAGATCCGGCAGATAGCCAACTCTTACACGCAGAAGGGACATAGTTCAAGTTTTGCTATGTGGACAGGAAGTAACATCTGGTACTTTCCTGGAATTCTGGCAGTTTCAGCAAAGTCGGAAAGTCTTTGAGAATTTGAGAGCTGACAGCTCGGAACAGCGATAACTTAAAAGTGGGACGGCCGGAGCCTCATCCCTGATCGTAACGCATCAAGGGGCTGTCAACTATAGCGTCAGGTCAGCATCTGCCAGAATCACATAGCAAAGCAACATGATTGGAAATTCAAAATTAGGGAACCTCCTAGTTTGAAAACTTAACCAATGGCAAAAGTGGAGGAGTGGATTTCTCCTGGAGTCCGTGGTTCGTGGACCTCGGGATTCAGAGAGAGTGCATTCTACCTCAAGGAGTCTTCATCCAACTTTCGGCAAAGTCGGACACAAAATTACGACTACGTCCCTTCCGTAAAAGTATTACAAGTAAAGTTCTAAACAAGTGTTATTAATAGATTCATTTGTATTCAGTGAGCCGGAGGGAATTATATGATTACTAAGTGCAACGGTCTAAAGTGGTGTGTGTGTGATTGTAGTGAAAGGTTCTTCCTGCCCTACCCGAACCAGACCAGTATAAGACCCGGGATAGGAACTCAGCTCTACAAATTACTGAACAGAACCCAGATACTCCCGTCTTTACCTGCTCTCGCGTACCAGCTCAGACAATCACAATTCTCCTCCCTTCCCACCTAACTTCTCGACATCCACGAGAAGAGGGAGGACGGTGATAAGTGGAGCACAACGTAGGATCAAGGAGGACGGTTACGCTATAGCCCTGGGGCCGACTCAGCCTCTAACAGAAATGAGTGCCAGGAATCTTCCTTGGTGTAAAGGAGGTCGGCTCCCGCCATCTATGTGTCGAATGTCTAAAAAATGTGGGAGCCTCGACGTCTCACAACCTTATGGGCCTCCACAGCCTGTTACAGGGATAACTTTACCTTTCAAAAATGAAACGAGAAATACTGGGAAGATCTAATCGCCTGATTTGTTTCCATACAACACGGACTGAATGTGTATTCGTTGCCGCAGTAACAGTTTTACCGAACCATTGCCTAACAATGATAAGGGACAAAGACACAATGAAAAATGGGTGGGATTCATGAAGTACGCCGTTGAGATCTGCTCAGCTGCCAGGATGTATATACCAAGATTCATAAAGTCTGGTTCACGCTTTCAAATGTTGAATGAGGGGCATATTTACAGGCACAAACAACATGGAGATCGCATAAGCCCTGTTTAGGAAACCAGGTTAAAATAATGGCTTACCACAGGAACTGTTTTACAGTTTTAAGAATGGATTTAAATTTATTCGAATTTAAATCATGAGAATATGGGAATGAAACAGGATATTCCAAAAATAATTCGAAATTGGAATATTCGTGCTATAAATTATAAGTTTAAAAATTCTTGACGATGGTATTTTGGTAGTTATTTACTTTTGTGACCTTATCCATCGCACTGTTTTATATTTGAAACAAAGTTTCTGGGGCTTAGCTGAAGTAAGGAGCAGAGTTCAGTTTCAGAAACATTGTTAAAAAAGCAGGACAATGAACAGTCTCCGAAATATCATAAATTTTACTGTGAGATATAACGTTAAACTTCTGAAGGTTGTCATATACAATTTTTGTGAAATTACTTACAATTTGATTATTAAACGCCGTAAAAATCCTTCTGAGGACAACAAACTTTGTGAATAAAGCCCAGGATTCTCAGAATATGAGTTATATACGTTACATGGCTACGCCATAGCTCAAGCGGTTAGTCGCTGGCTTCCTCCCGCCGCGGCCCGGTTTCGATCCCGGTTCTGGTCAAGTGGGATTTGTGGTGTACAAAGTAGCGTTGGGGCAGGTTTTCTCGGAGTACTTCGGTTTCCCCTGCCAATCTTCATCCCACCAATTACTCCACAATCACCCTCACCTATCATCTGGGGCTGGTACAATACGCCAGAAGTTGCCGCAGTATAAGGGACTTAGTCCCAACCCACTAGCACTAAAAAAAATAATATATACTTTACATGCTTAGCTAACGCCCTTGACTTTCTATTGTAGGATCCACAAGGGAGCAACCCGTATATAGCTGTTTGCTGTAGTAACAGTGTACTGAGAGAATTCTGCAGTTCGGTGTCTAACAAGAGAACAGGCTTCATACTTGAAACTTTTAATATGAAGTCTAATACAGAATTATAATGATAAATCAACGCACTGCTAATTTGAAACCCGAATTATCAACGAAGCAAGAAAAGCGTTTCAGACTCAACCATATGGGCTGCACCGAGCATTATTAGATTGCCGCGAAACTTGGAACAGAGAGAGAATTCTGATGTTTGCGCAGTGTGTAGGAAGTTGTACAAAACTTGGAGAAGGTAGAGCAGAGAATAGGAGGGAGGACTAACTCTACA